CTCCGGCACCCCGCCCCCAACAAGGACCCCCAAAACCCCCCCAAAAATCACTTATCAACCCCCAAAAACCCCACAAAACCCTTCACCCCAATTTTACCGCTAAAATCCTGTCCTCTCCGTCTTCCGAAAATCTATCCGATCGCCACAAAATTCCGCCTACAAATGCCCCGAATTATCGTCAACACTCGCGTACAGACCCCACCATCACCACAAAAATACCATTAATTCTGACAAACGTAATCACCTTACGTTCCCCACGAAATAAATAAAAAAAATAGCGCGCGTGTATGTCGTCTCGTTGCCCTATACGTTCTCCCGGGCACCCGAGACAGGAGTCACTGATTCTGACGCACCGCACATCGCGCCACCTGCGCGCGCAATATCACCCTCTCACTTCATCAATAATAGGGCTTTCTCACTTTGTCACACTGGGGCCCCCCCCGCCGTGGATTTTTCTCGTGAATTTTCACCCGCGTTGTGTCTTCGCACTATTCTTCGCCGGCGCCTACCCCTCGCGCCCCTCGGAATGACTAGTTTCGTGTGGCGAGCAGCGGAGGACAGGACTGTGTGTGAGACTGTGGTAGTGGGAGCGGTTAGATTCGGCGGTGCTAGCCGGGGAGGGGGGGAGGGGATCTAGCGAATTCTACACAATTGCCCGGCACAGCCTAACCTGAACGATCTGTCTTCGATACAAACAACGCGTGAGACGTACGTGAGGTATTGAACATGACACGGGTGAGGTTTTGCTGGGCTTTTCGCGGGATGCGGCGGCGCCGGGGGTTGATTGGGGCGGGTGTCGGGGCGGAGGGGGGGTAAGGTCGGGTGGGCTTTAAGGTTGTGTTGTAGTGTTGATAAGTGCGGGTTGAGGTTAAATGGGAATACTGGGTTGTTTCGTGAGCCAGGTGTTGATTTTCAATAGTGGGTCGGATTGGGGAGGTCGGGCTTTTTATGGGATTTTTGGAGTGGTTGTGGTGGAGGGAGGTATTAATTGTTGATGCAGTTTGGTGGGTGAGGTTGACGAATTGATTTGGTGATTTGATCGGGGAATATGAGATTGGAGTAGGTTGATTTTGTTGTTTTTGAGTGGTTGAAGGAAACTATAAGCTGAGGTTTTATGTATTTTTTCTTGTGATGTGTGCCCTTGGAGCTTTTGCATGTGAGGATTGACTGGGGTGGGTGTCCGGGGGGAGAGGGGTAAATAGTTGAGTGTTGATTAATGCAGGTTGAGTTCAGCTCTGAATACTGGGTTGTTTCGTGAGGCAGGTGTTGATTTTCAATAGTGGGTCGGATTGGGGAGGTCGGGCTTTTTATGGGATTTTTGGAGTGGTTGTGGTGGAGGGAGGTATTAATTGTTGATGCAGTTTGGTGGGTGAGGTTGACGAATCGATTTGGGGATTTGATCGGGGAATATGAGATTGGAGTAGGTTGATTTTGTTGTTTTTGAGTGGTTGAAGGAAACTATAAGGTGAGGTTTTATGTATTTTTTTTGTGATGTGTGCCCTTGGAGCTTTTGCATGTGAGGATTGACTGGGGTGGGTGTCCGGGGGGAGAGGGGTAAATAGTTGAGTGTTGATTAATGCAGGTTGAGTTCAGCTCTGAATACTGGGTTGTTTCATGATGCAGGTGTTGATGTGTTATATTGGATCGAATTATCGAGGTCAGGCTTTTTATGGGATTTTTGGAGTAGTTGTATTGGAGGGAATTATTAATTGTTGATGCAGTTTGATGTGTCAGGCTGACGAATTGATTTGGTGATTTGATGGGGGAATATGAGAGAATATGAGATTGGAGTGACTTAATTTAGATGCACGTTAATTTTTTTGTCGAAGATCAGGTTTTTAGGGAATTTTCGTGATGTGTGCCGTTNGGGGGGGGGGGGGGGGGGGGGGGGGGGGGGGGGGGGGGGGGGGGGGGGGGGGGGGGGGGGGGGGGGGGGGGGGGGGCGGTAAATAGCGTGATGCAGGTTTTGGAAGGTTGAGAGTGTTGATTAGTGCGGGCTGAGTTTATCTCAGTGAATACTGGATTATTTTATGAGGCAGGTGTTGATTTTCAATACATTGGAATTTTGGAATATTGAAATTCTGAATGATGATGTGGGGGTGTATAATTGTGACTAATTGTTATAATTCGGAGTATTTATTGCTTAGAATTATTGTTAACAATCTGGATTTTTATGGAATTTTATTTTCCAGGGATGGCCATCAACATTAAATTTCGTCAATATTAAAAGAATTTGCGAGTTACATTCAAAAAGGTTTAAATATACTCACCAAAATTCGAAAATAGTATAATATTGACAATTTAAATTTCCGATTAATAAAGAATTAAATATTTGATAATATGGAACTGTAAATTTTCCATTAAGTAAATAATTTTAATTTCGTAAAAGGGTTTATCGATTGACCGAATAATCGGCGCCCTTCCTACCTAAATTATTGATCAATAAAATCGTTGAAAATTTGGATATTTAAATTGATAATTACTTGAATAATTAAAAATTTAAGAGTGATATAAAATAAATCACGGCTTCAAAATTGAACCGTAATTATGATTTATGAATATGGCTATCCCTGTTATTTTCTAGGGATGTCATGTGTGCCGTGGGAACTTTTGCATTTGAGGATTGATTGGGGCTGTTTGTCCTCGTGACTAGCGACAGGGGAGGGGAGTAAACAGTCTCGCGCGGTTTTTTATAAGGTTGACAGTGTTGATTAACCGGAGTTAAGTTCATATCAGTGCATACTGCGGTTATTTGTTTATTCCACGATGCAGGTGTTAATTTCCAAGACTAGAATCCTTCATACTGACATGGGAGTCGGTTAATTGATGGATTGTGATTTTCATTGGGTAGAGTTGTCGTCGAAATCATAATTTTTCTGGAAATTTTGGAGTAATTGGAGAAAATATGGAACTTCACTGCGTTAATTAATGGATTTAGTTTTTTATTGGACCAAATTGTTGATGGGGTCAGGACATCCGTGACATTTCGGAGTGATCACAGTGAATTATTCATTATTCCTGTAGTTTTATGGGATCCGAGCAAGATAACACTGGAATATGAACGCACCAATCTGAGGAGCTGGCAGACACTCCGAGATTACTCGTAACCGGGGAGATATGGAGATCAATCCCCTGAGTATTATCCTGGTTAAGAGTGATAGCAAGGGGGATAGGATGCTGTTCAGGTATCCACATGCTACTAATCATGAGAGGGATTCCAGCCATTTCACCAAGAGGAAGAATCCGTATTCACTGATCATTGCTGAGGATCTCTTGCAGGTTAGAATTGTTCAGACGTTTTGCATGATAATTACTGTTGGATGAATACTTGGAAAAATACAGCTATCATAATGCAATGAGTATATTCTGAATCGTAGTCTCTCTCAATTTTTTAAAGAAAGAATTAGCAATTTTAATTATTTTATTTTATTTACTGGAAGTCGTTTACCCATGAATTATATTTTATTAAACTTTTAAGGGAATTAAATACTTTTTTGGAATGGAGCAAGTAACATTTCTACTAATGATTATTATTATTATTATTATTATTATTATTATTATTATTATTATTATTATCATTGATGTCAGTTCAGTGAATTGTCATTTGATGACATTTAGGGTACCCTAGCCATTTTTTTTGACAACATCAACCTCACCATTCGTAATTGAATGTCAGAGCTTTCATTTGAGAACCATTTGTCCCTAGATTACTTAAACCCTGAAGTTCAAAATTTAATTCTTCAATAGTAGTAGAATCAATGAAAGTTTCTTGAATATAATTAATTAATGAATTTTCAAATGAAGTTTGTTTTTGCTATTTTAATTAAAGTTTTAAGGGAATTAAATACTGTTATGGAATGGAGCAAGTAACATTTTTACTAATGATTATCATTACTATTATTATTAGGGGAGGTTGGGGTAAAACAGACACTTGACTTTTTTTAAAATGTTAATGAGGGGTTAAAATGTTGATAAAATTTAATACAATTTTTTTTTATTAAATTTCACAAAGAACAATTCTTTCCCTTTGTGACGAGCCTAAACTGAACTCAATTGATAAATTTGTTTCTGAGTTATGAATAATTTTAAGAAAGTCTAAAGTATCAATTTTACCCCACCCTCCCCTATTATTATTATTATTATTATTATTATTATTATTATTATTATTATTATTATTATTATTATTATTATTCAGTGAATTGACATTTGATGACATTTAGGTACCCTAGCCATTTTTTTTTGACAACTTCAACCTCAACATTTGTAATTGCATATCAGAGCTTTCATTTGAGAACCATTTGCCCCTAGATTACTTGAACTCTGAAGTTCTACATTTCATTTTTCACTTCTAGTAGTAGAAACACTCAATGTGTGTTCCATTCGCGTAATATTTCACTCTACAAAAGTCCTCACAAACAATATAAATTAATATGAGCGACGCAATACCCCGCGTAGAAAATATTCAAATAATTCACCTATGTGAAATTGATATTGCAGTCTCTCCCCTGTCCAACATCAAACATAACAAACGAAAATTTTACTGGACTACCTGATGAAGTATTGCTATTGCATTCACTAGAACTTATTTAGCTATGAATTACATTCTATTGACCTTTGAAGGAAATTAAATACTGTCTTTCAATGCACCAAGTAACATTCTTAGTGATGATTATTATTTACTGAAGTGACATTCAATAATATTTAGGTAGTCCGGCCATTTTTTTTGCTAAAATCCTTCTCATCATTTGTGATTTAAGATCAGAGCTTTCATTTGAGAACCATTTGTCCCTAGATTACTTGAACTCTGAAGTTCTACATTTCATTTTTCACTTGTAGTAGTAGAAACACTCAATGTGTGTTCCATTCGCGTAATATTTCACTCTACAAAAGTCCTCACAAACAATATAAATTAATATGAGCGACCCAGTACCCCGCGTAGAAAACATTCAAATAATTCACCTATGTGAAATTGATATTGCAGTCTCTCCCCTGTCCAACATCAAACATAACAAACGGAAATTTGACTGGACTACCTGATGAAGTATTATCAACCCTATTTGCTGTTAAACCGGAGCTATGTGAAATGAAATTTGAATTAAAAGTAAATAACGTGAGATTCGTTGGGCATCCAACGCTTTTGTCATCCAGAGGACTGAAAGAAACCAATTCGTCAATGTTATTCAATGTTGTATTTGCACTTCAAGCGCAGGCCGATCATTCCGTCGTCAAGTGCTATTACGATCTGAGCAAGAGGTCAGGGACTGGCAATTTGCATGAAAACAAAAAAATTACTTTAGATTCGTCTGCGAACACTGGTGGAATATTTACGGAATTGGATTGTTTTTTTTTTTATTGCAGATTGGGAATTGCGTTGAGGCACGAGGAAAAGAGATGTGGATTTTTGTCGAGTGAAATTAAAGTTATGGTATTGACTCATGACGAAATAGCCACGAGGTAATTTTACATGATGTGGTGATGAATTAAAGCGTTAAATCAGTGGGGCGAGGTGATGGGGTATTGGAGGCATAATAAACAAGTATCAATCTGATTTATGCAAACCCTGGTTGCTAGGGAGGAAAATTCAGTAGCGAAGCGATCAAATGGGTTGAGGGATTTCATCTGTGAAAAATAAATGATGGCACTGTTTCGAAAATGGAAACTGTGGGTATCTTTAATGGATATCCTTAACTTCGAAAGTAATTTAGCATTCAGGGTAAATTGGTACTGAACATTCATGCTTCGTTTGAAAATTTATGAAAGGTGGGGAATTCTCGTCCTTCTGCAGCGAAAAAATAGGGGGTTTATTGAGTTTGCAGTTTGCAGGAAAATCGAAAATTTTAGGATTTTTCGCTCTAAATCGAATTCAATGTCACTCTTCGGATCATCCTGGATATACTTTTTGGACATTTTTATCGCACTTTGAGTGCAATTTCAAGAAATGTTGCCATTGAAAATTGAATATTTCATGGAAAATGAATGAAAACTGTCAATTTTAAGTCAATTATTCTCTGAAAATTAACAGAAATTGGGAAAATTCAAGCGAATAATCCTTAACTTCTCAATTAATTGAAAATTCAAATAAGTTGGACAATTTTCGTCCTTCTGCCCCTAAAAAATTTGGAATTTCATTGAATTTTCAGTAAAATCTAAAATTTCATAATTTTTTTTACTAAATCGAATTCAGTGTCACTCTCCTAAAAATTTCGGATACACTTGTTATAAATTTTTATCGTACTTCCACTGAAATTTCAAATCACTAAAAATTGATAATTTCATAGAAGATTCCATTAAAACTGTAAATTTCACTTCAATTATCCTCTGAAAATTAGCAGAAATCAATAGAAAATTAACAGAAATCCGAAATCATAACTTCAACTTAATTAGGTACTCAACATTCATGTTTTGATTGGAAATTTAAGTAACCTAAGGAATTCGCGTCTTCTTGCAGCTACAAAATTCGGAATTTTATTGAATTATCAATTAAATTAAAATTTTATAATATGTTCCCACTCAATCGACTTCAATGTCACTCTCCTAAAAATTCCAGATACACTTGTTATAAATTTTTATCACACTTCCACAGAAATTTCGCCAAATGTCGTCATTAGAAATTAAAAATTTCATGGTAAAATCAGTGAAAATCGTAAATTTCGGTTCAATTCTTCCTTGAAAATTACCAGAAATCATAACTTTAACTTAATTTGGTACTGAACATTCTCGTCTTCCTGCAGCCAAAAAATTAACAATTTCATCGAGTCCCCACTAACCCTGAAATTCCATGATTTTCCCCCTAAATCAAACTCAAAGTCACTCCCCTAAAAATGACTATCCAACAGTCCACAAATCATCAATTCTCTCCTATTAATATCGTATTATTTATTATATCTCCAATATCTTGGTCATGGAACCGCCGATAATAATCACAAAAACCCACAAGATCCCCCGATTAGATTGACCCCACCAATAACGATTCAGATCCGAAGAGGAGAGCGACTGTGAGGAGAACCCCTACGAATTGATCCTGAAGAAGAGTTCACTAGCCAGAGATTTGAAATCAGCCTTCAACAGTCTCTGCACCTCCGGTTTCGTCGACCTCATGATAAACAAATGGATCCAAGTGAGCTTCTGTTTACCCCAGAAAGTCCACCAGTCCCACAAGAAGGGATTCATCATGAATCCCGAGACGATAGACAGATGTCTGGACAGTTTGAGGCCATATCATGGCATTCTATTGCTGATAGAGCCTCTGGATCTCCTGGAGTCGCTGCCTGCTGACGCGTCACCAGCACTCAGGAGATTGATCCAGATGTACAATCCCCTGAAGAGCCTCCAGACGCTCGCTGCTGACTCGGATTTGTCGCTGGCACAGGTCTTTCAGTTGACTGGGCACCTCGTGTACTGGGCAAAGGCAACCATAATTTATCCTCTGTGCGAGAGTAATGTTTATGTCGTCTGTCCAGACGCATTGATTTCCAATCAACTGATGGAGGCTTTCGCCGATCAATTTCCGGGATTGTCACTGCTGCAGGTACTTTTATCAGTTTATCAATTTGGTTTATTTGGTTTATTGGATTATTCGTTTCACTCGTTCATTCGCTTTTTCGATTCGTTATTCATCCCGTTGGATTATTTGCTTCGGGCATAGCATCATTGATCTGATTCAATTAATTTCATTCTTCGTTTGTTTTTAATGAATACAAAACTTCAGTCTAGGAGAGATTTTTACATTTTGAAAAGACACCGTGCGGCGTCAATGATCCAACTCTAGAGTTCAATATTTTGTTGTTGAAAGCTAGAGTTTCATTTTATAAAATATAATTCTAAGAGAATTGCAAGTGCAAAATGTACAATGGACTTTAGCTTAATGTAGATCAATTGGATTGTATTGTAGATGAATGGAATTTCAGTGCCAGTTATAATTTATCAATTTATTTAATTTGATATATTGGATTATTCACTTCACTCATTCCATCATTTTGTCAATTCTTTATTTATCCGCTTGGATTATTTGGTTCGGTCCAATCATCATTGATCTGATTCAATTAATTTCGTTCTTCGTTTATTTTTAATGATCTCTCAGGAGCAAAATACTTCTTGATTAACTTTAGTTTATGAGAGATTTTTACATTCTGAAAAGACACCGTGCGGCGTCAATGATCCAACTCTAGAGTTCAATATTTTGTTATTGAAAGCTGAAGTTTTATTTTATAAAATATAATTCTGAGAGAATTGCAAGTGCAAAATGTACAATGGACTTTAGCTTAATGTACATCAATTGGATTGTATTGTAGATTGGAATTTCAGTGCCAGTTATAATTTATCAATTTATTTGATTTGATATATTGGATTATTCACTTCACTCATTCCATCATTTTGTCAATTCTTTATTTATCCGCTTGGATTATTTGGTTCGGTCCAATCATCATCGATCTGATTCAGTTAATTTCATTTTTCGTTTATTTTTAATGAATTTCCAGGAACAAAATATTTATTGATTAACTTTAGTTTATGAGAGATTTTTACATTCTGAAAGGGCATTTCGCGTCAATGATTCTCGTCTTGAGTCAAATATTTTGTTGTTACACCAACACGCACGAAAAAAATTAATAGAAAAACGTAGCGAATTCGCTAGATAATTCTATTAGAGTTCCATTGAACTTTCTATTCATTTTTGGCGGATTATGTTACAATTTTCAATAGGAAAAGTCAATAGACATAGATTTTTCCATACAATGCATTCTATTGAGATATTTTATATGGGATTTTCATTTTCTTAATGAAAAAAAAGAAAATTCTGTAGAAAATATCTCAATTGAATAAATTGCATAGAACAATCGAATTATATTGACTTTTTCAATAGAATCAACTAAAAACTAATAGAACGTTTAATAGAATTGTCAAAAATTTTCATTTGTCATTGTAAAAAAATTCAAAAAATTTAAAAATTGTTTTAAAACTTTTAATTTTTAATTTTAATGAAGCATTAAATTCAATCAAAAATACATCCTCATAAAAATTCCATTATCAAGCAAATTGCTAATTTATTAGCAAAAATATATCGACTATATCGCAACGAACACAATTTCCTACCTATTGTTCTCTCGATGTATTTTATTGTTCCACACTACAGTGGCATTAATTATTCCATCACAAAGACTGAAAACAGTTTTGATTAGGGGTTCATACAGAATTTTGTTGCAGGTCATTAGTGAATTTTCCCTGCCAACTTCCATAAGCCAGAAGTTAAATCCCCTGAATCAACCCCAACAACAGCAGCAGCTGGTTAAAATAATAATCTGGCTGTTGAGACATCATCTGTTATTGCAGTTGCATACGTACGTGCAATACATGCCAACGGATCACGGCAGAAATACTCTGGTAAGATTAATTATGAACATGCACATTTTACAAACTTTAGTGATAAGATAATTCAATGAATTATTGATCTTGTCATGCTCGGGATATGCATTTTAAAGTGAGATTCAATTGGGCATAATCATTTTAAAAAACTTGGTCTCATGAAGTTTATCAATTCAGTAGCGAAGTGGTAAAACGGTTTACGTCGACTCATCTCCCAGTTGAGTTTTTGAGGTATATTTCCGAACCTGAGAGAGATAGCGAAATTTTCGTAATTACATTTGTTGTAGCTCTCAATCGGCTCTACAAAAAAGATTATAACAAAAATCTTGCTATCTCCCTTAGATTCCGCGATATTCATTGATATTGATGGCCAATAGTCACAATTGACTTGAACCGTTTTACCACTTTGCTACTGAATTAAATTGAGTCAGAAAAGGTTAAAGAAAATTAGCTGATGAAATTCTCTGCGACATGCCCTTCCTGTCGATGAATAATTGAAATTATTTAAACTTAAAAAAATAGAGTGTGTAAAATGCATTTTCTAATGAAAACTTGAAAAATTTGTAATTTTCAAAAATCTTAGATCTTCGATGTTATTCAAAAAGTATGCAATCTTCCAATTTTTTTTTACAGAATAAAAAGTAAAATTTAGGCTTTCAAATTAAAAGTAGTAAAATCACTGCAAAATTCTCGGTAACTCGGGGTCAAAGGGGCGGGAATGAAAGCTTTGGTGTTAAACTACGAATGTTGAATAGGATTTCAACGAAAAAGGGTAAAGTACTTGGATATCCTTAAGTAGAATACAGCGGAAGTGAGGGAATTATGAATTTATGGTGAACTGGAGGTAATTTCCATGAGGGAACTGGATTTTGTAAAATTCAGAGAGCTCAGTTATTCCACGAGCTTAACATCAACGATGGAATATTTAACGAGGATGAAGCATGTGTCTGGAATATCCTCTTTTATATCTTGCATTGAACGAATTGCGAGTTTGAATTGATTTTCCCTCAGTGACGATTAACTGCAGATTTTGTGACGTAGGGGAGTCGTTGAGTGTAACGAACAAAAATAAATTCAAAAAAAAAAAAAATAGGGGAGAGTGAAAAACGACAGTTTGACGCAATTCAAGCAAACAAAAAATTTTATTAACTATTTTTTTTATCAACTTTTGTTCATTTTTTCCTGGAATTGCGTCAAACAGTCGTCTTTCGGCTGTTTCATTTTGCCCCGTTCTCCCCTATTCACCATTGATAATTTTTCCCATGAATTCTGACTTTGATGAGTGTAAGAAATTGATCCATTAAATTCATTCTTGACTTATTTTTTTAAAACAAAATAGTCTGCGGACACGCAGAACCAAATTATTTATTACAAAATTTTGACGATAATTTTCATCTTGGACGTAGAATTTTTATTTATTTTTTTCTGATTTTTCGATATTTTTTTTACATTCTAATTTTCTCCGAAAATCGAAAAGTTAAATTTCTCCTAAGACTCTGTTATTTTTTCACTTCTAAATCAATTATTATTAACAATACTAGACTGTATTCATATTAACTTTCGTTCAGAATTTATTTACGATTTTAGTCTTAAAAATCCAAGTAATCTTTATACTACTTCAATCCGAAAGGATTTCTATGTAAAAATCATGAATCAATGAATGTTTCAACCAGAACTTCAACCCCTTTATCCCCAGCTGAAGTTTAACTCCGTAAAACAGCATTCCGAGAGAATTGCGAATGCAAAATGCGCAGTGGACTTCAGTTGAATGTAGATCAATTGAATTGTATAATGGATAAATGGAATTTCAAAGTGCCCACTCACAACTTCGGTTGCCAGCCGTTTAATTAAATGGATAGTCAATCTTCATTAGTCGAGTTTAATTGTTCCATCAGAGACGTTTTTTCATTGCACTGGAATCAGGAATACGAAATAAATTCGACCCTTGTATTCGGACACTTTTCGACTATCCAAAAGTCATTAAATTGTTAATTAAATCATTTATTTATTTATTTATTATTAATTTATTCAATAAATGAATGATTTAATTGTGAATTAAATCATTCATTTATTTATTGATTTATTTTATTTATTTATTTATTGCAATTCTCTCGGAATGCTGTTTTACGGAGTTAAACTTCAGCTGGGGATAAGTTCTGGTTGAAACATTCATTGATTGATAAATAATAATATTTATTTATTATTAAGTTATTCAATAAATAAATGATTTAATGAACAATTTAATGAGTTCTGGGCATTTGAAAAGTGTCTGAAAACAACCATCAAATTCATTTCATAATTACATTATGAAATAAATAAATATTTATTTAGTTATTTATTTATTTATTTAAAAAATGCTTCGTTGTTTTTTAAATTTATTTATTATTAATTTATTCAATAAATAAATGAATAGAATAAATACTAGGGGGCTACGCCCCCTGCTCACTCCGCTCGCCAACCCCCATATGACTCACATATAGTCCCCATAGTCCTTATTCTGACCCTTGTGACCCTTAATTTTGGAGTCTTAATTTCATGTACCATTTTGTATCACCAGACGTTCACTTGCATTTTTATAATATAGAGAATAATACATAATAATTAATTAAATAAATACATGATGAATAAATAAATAAATGAAATATAGCATTTTCGGCAACCTAGTCTCAATTGAGGTTTAAAATTGTATGAACACATCTCGGTTTTTAAATACCAAAATGTGAAATTAATTTTAAATGAATGGTAATATAAAAAAAAACATTCAGGTGAAATTTGAGTTCAGTCGATAATCTAGTGCTATTGATAATAATTAATGTAGAAGTGCCAAATATCATAGAGTCTTATAAGAAGATCATTAAAATTAAAAAAAAAAATGTTGAAAAATCACAAGAAATCTATCAAAATCTTTAAAAATGTCACAAAAAAAACTGGTTATAAATAATTTTTTTTCACTGATGATAACAGCGCAGTCAAACGAGAGAATATCGTTTACAAAAATAGTTTAAAAAATAATTTGATCGATCAATTTTTTCCACTCATCAAAGTCAGAATTCATATAAAAAATGATCAATAATAAGTGACTATTTTCATATTTCGAATTTATTTTTCCTCGTTTCCTGCTTCAACACGAAGCTTTCCTGTTTAATTACAAGTATTTAAAATTATTTCAACAACAAAGGAAAGAAAACCGCCAAAACCCCCGAATATTCTTCATAAATTATGCTGAAGTCAATTGGATTAGACATACACCATTTAATATTTATGAATTTCTAGGAGACTCTGAGCCAGGAAGGATCGAGTCCAACAGGAGTAACCGAAAACGACAGTAGCTGGAGTCTCAGTAACACTCCAAAATCCACTCCAAACGAAATGAGAACCGAGAGATCAATGACTCTCCCCAAAGAGGACGGTATCTTCGAATACAGATCTGAAAATTTTCCCATTCCCTCTGACGACATCATGCTGCTGGATCGACTCTGCAGATTCGGTTACTTCGACGGTGGTCATCACCTCGAGGAGATCATGTATTTTGAGAATATACGCAGGTCCCAGTTACTCCAGATTCTCGACAAATTCCGGGACATATTAATCACATCTGAGCACGAAGATCCAGCTATTGCGTTATTTTATTCGCAGCATGGTTCTCCATAACAAAAACCAAAAACTATAATATCCATAATAATTACATAAAATATGAATGTTAATGTATAAAAATGAAAGCACTACCAATTTATTATTTTTTATAAATAAAGAGAAATTTTTATTTCACTCATTTTCCTTATAAATTATTCACGACTTGACTGATGAAGGAGGTAAGTTTAAAAAATATATTCCAAAAAGATAATTTTTTAATCATAGTTATTATTATCGTTAATATCCATATAATTATCAATAACTGCAGCAAAACACAAAAAAAACATAAAAAATGTGATATCTGTACACTTTATCTTCCCTTAATGCGAATAAACATAAACTTTTTATCTTTTATATCATTAGCCTAGGATAGGACGAAACTAAATCGTAGTATTCACAGATATTTTACAAGACAGGTGGACGAACACCCACTGCTGTCTTTAAATCCTTTCTTCATTATTTATATTCAAATAGAATAAAATGAGACGATGGACGTAACGAGAAGAAATTCCCCATGCTGCTGGATCGACTCTGTAAATTCGCTTATTTATCACAAGGATCTCCACAATAAAAACCAAAAACTCAATATCAATAGTAATTCCATAAAATATGAATATTGATATATAAAAATGAAAGCACTACCAATTTATTATTTTTTATAAATAAAGAGAAATTTTTATTTCACTTATTTTCCTTATAAACTATTCACGACTTGACTGATAAAGGAGGTAAGTTTAAAAAATATATTCCAAAAACATAATTTTTTAATCATAGTTATTATTATCGTTAATATCCATATAATTATCAATAACTACAGCAAAACACAAAAAAAAACAAAAAAAATGTGATATCTGTACACTTTATCTTCCCTTAATGCGAATAAACATAAACTTTTTATCTTTTATATCATTAGCCTAGGATAGGACGAAACTAAATCGTAGTATTCACAGATATTTTACAAGACAGGTGGACGAGCACCCACTGCTGTCTTTAAATCCTTTCTTCATTATTTATATTCAAATAGAATAAAATGAGACTCTCGACGTGGCGAGAAGAAATTCCCACCGGAAATAATGTACTACTACTTAAGCAGTGTGTGCACGTCCTAATCCCCCAATATTCTTATCCGCAACTGCAATATATGTAATTGAATTCATTTCATTTACTTCTCTCGATCATTCATTTTTCCTTTATTATTACTAATAAACTGTACATATGAACAACTCATCCTTTACACTGTACATGCACATCCACGAGTATCTGCACTGCATTTATAATTTATTTTCATATTCATCTGAAACTCTTAGGGATAGGGATGGGCAGGATATTCATGACCATTCGCCACTGTCAATACACTTACCATTTTTATAATTTTTTTTTTCCATAATAATTATGTTTAGGTAGGAATTCCTCTCCATTAACAACTTATTACTACAATACGGAAACATGAGCGCCTTGTTCTTCGATTATCATTATACGTTATTCTTCTTCATTTTATGAAAGTATTTTTAATATTGTCCAACTGGGACTCCCGCATATTCACTCGGTAACGTGAAAATTCTAATTCTAGTCTCAAAATTTCATCATCAAAACGCTTTCGCATATTTTCGATTTTTTTTACATAAATGCTTCGTCTGAGTTGCGTCCGGGATGATTGATTAAATGAAAATTACCTGCGTCTAATTTCCGCACAGTCCTAATCCGTTTGGGGATTTCATCGTTTCGTTTTTTTCATCACTCGTGCGGAAAGTGAAATTTTACGCTCCCTCGTGGACGCAAAATCCCACTTTTCGGACATTGTGATGAAAAATAGGGCTCGACACTCGTGGGAGAAGGGTTCTTTGACCCTTGGGAGGCAGCACTCGCCTTCACACGGGTCAAAAAACTCTTTTATGGTACGAGGGATAAAAAGACACTTTTTGCGCGCTGCGCACGCAAAAACCGCCTTTTTCTCACTAGTGTCATGAAACATTTTGCGATACGTATGAAAACATGTACTTCCTGACGAGTGCAATTACAGCCCTCGCACTCGTCTACAACTACTTTTTCATCACACTGTCCGTAAAGTCTCGTTTTTCGTTCCGTTTTACGGACACATTGTAAAGAAAAATTTTGTTCGTCCCTCGGCTGAAAATAACTTTTTTGAATCGTGCGACTGCATTCCTCAGCCTCGCACTCGTCAGAAAATTTTTTTCAACACACTGTCCGTAAAACGTCGTTTTACGGACACGTCGTGTCCGTCAAACGCCGTTTGCGGACATTGTGAAGAAAAATTTTGTTCGTCACTCGGCTGAAAATAACTTTTTTGAATCGTGTGATTGCATTCCTCGGCTCCGCAGCCCTCACACTCGTCAGAAAAGTTTTTTTTCGGCCTTGTGAAGAAAATAGATATTTTATCACTCAGTTCGTGAAACCTCGCTTCACGCACGCTGCGCGCGTTAAAAAACCGCTCACGAACATCGTGACAAAAGAAATTGTGCGTGACAGTGTCAGAATAGCTATTTTCTTCACAAGGCTGAAAAAAATTTTTCTGACGAGTAGGAGACGAAGCCGAGGAATACAGTCACACGAGTCAGAAAAGTTGTTTCACGAGTATGATTTTTCGAGTGGCCGTAAAAGGACTTTTTACGGACAGTGTCATGAAAAATACTATTTTTCACTTGTATCGTAATATACTTTTACGCACTCGTATCAAAATATACTTTAATATATTTTTTGTTCGAGGTCTAGAGATGTTTTTTACATGTTAATGAATTCTAGACGTCATTATCGTTAATGGGCGTTTTGATAAAAAATGTTGCGTGTCATGGAAATTACTGTGAGAGCGAATTTCATGATCATGTTTTGTAATTTCGCAGGAGATCGGATGGACATGTTGTGCGAACAGGGGTAATTAATACATTCTTCTCTTGAAATTGCGAATAGAGGGATTCAGAGGATGATTATTTCTTGAGGCATTTGTGGTAATGACGACGCATTGGGGGTTCGCATTAATTTTTTTAAGGAAAATTAGGGGAAATGTATTCGTGGAAATTGATGAGTTATGGACGATTTCTGCATAATTCATACCTCTTGATTTTTCGGGATAAATAAATTTCTAGTGCTTTAATTCAGCCTTCATATTTCCTTATTTTATTCAATGAAGAAAAAATTCAAGACACTTTTTTTTAGCGAAGGAGCGACGGGCTCCAAATCGATTTAATTTAAAAATCGGTTTTTGAATTTTCTTTGCGGGAAAAAATGAAAGTTAAAAAAAGAGTCTCACCCCCTTGCAAGTGAGTATTAACTATTGAATTCTCTGAATTCTTCTCTATTTTCTCATTGAATAAAATTCAGTAACGGGTTTTCTCAGCTGTTTTCGAGGAATATCTCCGAATCTAAGGGAGATAGAGAAATTTCATAATGACCTGTTTTCTAGATCTTTATCCGCTCTATAAAAAAGGTTATTACAAAAATTTGGCTATCTGCCTTAGATCCGCAGATATTCGTTGAAAATTATGAAATAATAAAATTAGATTTGAAAAAATTGACAGGTATTCTTCCATTTTGAGAAATGACCGAAATAATCAATAGGCGAAGTCAATTGCCTATAACTCACGAACTCCCACAATATTCTTTCAAAATAAAAAATATGTCGCTTCATTATTTTTACTTCTGATACGAAATTATAAAAAAAGGGTAAAACCCCTAAAGTCGACCTCATGTTTACTCCTTTAAGGGGAGACTGCACTGATATTTCAAACTCGCAGTAGCCTTTACTGATCGTGCTAATAAATTTACTGTTTCAGTTTTGAGGCAAAAAATAATAAAAAATAAGGCTTTGATTTTTTTTATTGATGGAATCTTCAAGTCTGTATGACGCAATTCTCAATCAATTGATTTGAATTTTGGTTTGCACAAAATCCATACGTTATTATAGGCAATTAGGATTTTTTGAAATTTTTAATTTCTGTGGTTTTCAGAATTTTTCATTTATTTTTCATAATTTTTCTCATTTTATTCAGAATAAATAATTCTAAAAATCCGAAAAAAATTCAACATTCAAAAATTCTAAATGTAGTTGAATGTTCCTGATTTTTCAAAATTTTTACCTACTTCAATTTCAACAAAAAAATTCCGAAAACTCAAAAAATAGAAATTCTTTAAAACCTCATTCATTCATAATTGAGTACATATTATGTACCTGTACCCCAAAAGTTGAGTCAATCTATTGAGAACTGCATCATGACGGCACTTGTAAAAATTTAATTCCTCTAAACCCTCTCCCCGATCAATAAAAAAATCAAAACCCAATTTTTCTCATTTTTTCACCCAAAAACGAAGCAGTAAACTCATCAGCCAGCGTCGTCGAAATGTCAGTTCCGTCTCCCCTCAAAAACCATCGAGAATAGATGGAAGTGAATGCAGGCCAGGCGTCAATGGTCACTGAGATCTGTCACACAAAAAACCGCATGACTTAAACTATCATTTCAGCCCAATATATCCTTCCACTTCCACATGAAACGTGCCCTAGGGCCATCCAACGTATTCTCCCCCAAAACACTATGAGTAATCGTTTGCAGTGGTATAGAATAGATATAGAATAGTATTAGTGGTAATAGAAGATATTTTTCTCTTGTAGTTATAGTGTAGTTGAATAGGAGAGTAGTTATTTAAAAATTTTGTCGTTTTCATCCTCGAAATAATTCACAGTAACAGCATATCGAATAAAATTAATAAAGATTTCGTGAGTAATAAAGAATAAGAATGATAATAATAATTAATATTATAAGTTCTTTATAATGTACATATTTCATTAATCACTAATTTGCATTTCTATAATTAATTAATCATTAATCATGATAATATGTTACATCCTGCTAGGAATTTGTTGTATGGTACACTAGGGATAAACACCTACATAGTCCTTGAAATTCATCATGTTTTTTTCACTTAATATTTTTTGTTAATGTCTACATTTCACTTCTTTTTGTAACATCATTTGTCCATTTACTTTCTAGTTCGACAGGAGCAGCGGCGGCCTCAACTGCAGCAGCAGCAAAAACTATAGTATACAGTAATATAATACATAGGTATTTATATAGAGTAATTATTTATACAAAAACACATCACATATTGCGCGCACCTGGAACGGTTTGCTTTTATGTTGTTTTAATATTTTTTTTACCATTTTTTGCATTTTTTTTCCTCTTTGTTTCATTACCATTATTATGATTTACCATCTCAATGTATTTTTACCATTATATATGCAGATATCGTTAAATAATTAAAATCACAGTAGTTATGCCCTCGCTGGCTCGCTTATATTTATACAACATTAATTCTAAGCCTTAATTATAAACTCGTGTTTATATGGATTTTAGCATAATTTTTGCTTCTTATTTCCAGTTTTTTTTTTTTATTTATACATCTGGGTGATTCCATTTCGAGTGGAGTTTGGAAATTTTCGGGCTCTCATTGGCGCAAATATGGACATCTCTTGTCAGTGATTTATTTAATCGTCGATTTTCGGTGTTTTCTTAAATCTCGTTTCGTGTACATCGAGTGGGAGGGGATGTGCCCAATCTGCTTGTCGGATAGACCAAGAGTGATGTCGGTCATTCCCACAAACACGATCAGTTGCTGAATTAGGCTGAGAAAATGAGCCAATGCTTAATGAAAAGGTGGAGAGGAACGCAAGGATTTCGTTATTAAAATTTTAATAATTTTTTTTTTAAACCGTGCTAACCTCCCCGCTTTATCACACAACCCCACCCCACCTGTTTCACAATCTGCAGATCCAGGGGTTGAGTAGAGCTGGAGCTTGTTTTGATTGTCAGTTACGATTTTAGGGGGTTCGTGTCGTTGGTTGAGGGAAGGAGGAACTTTGGGGCTTCATGCTGTCCACTGGGTGGTGGAATGATTAGGAGCCAGGTCTGGCCTCAGACGGTGGCGATGACGATTACCAAGTGGGCGATGTCGGCAACACGACGCAGGAGGTCGGGGGCTATTCTTGCTAGGCTGTCGTTGGCGAATTCACAGGATGGAAATATGTGGACTACGTACGCCGGCTGGAAATTAACGGGAGAATATTTTCATAATTTCATAATTGATTTTGTTAATTTTTTTTATTTAAATTGACGACAATTGCAGCTGGAGAAATCAAGCGTTTGAATCAAATGAATTATTTTTTATTTTTCTATTCACATATTTATTTCAATGGAGATGTTTCAATTATATGAAATTAATGGAAGATTCGTAACTAATGAAGTATTTATTTGGATTAAGGGGTATTTGTTTATATTTGAAAAAGTACTCAAGCTAATTTTTATTTAAACTCAAAATAATTTGAACTTCGAGACTTCGTGAGTTTACAAGTTTAGTTTAGTTTTATTGAATTGTAAAGTCATCAGAAATTATTATTTAATAATAAGCAGAAGATGGGTTATAGACGAGTGAGAATATGATGATTATGATGTAAATTTTGCTTTTTGCATTTCATTATTTCATTCAGTGGAAAAAAAATTGATGCAATAATTGGAATTCAAATGAAAAACAACTACAACTTTTTCATTTTTCATTATTATATATTCGAAACTGAACGATAGTCATCCAAAATGTTCATTCGGATAATTCAATTCTTTGTGAAAAGGTCATAATGAAAGATAAAATTTCATGCTTACCTGTTGCGACACTGGATCATGAATGTTAACGATTCCAGCAGCTGTTTTTTGTTGCAAATAAGTTATGAATCCAGTTTGTAAATTCTGACTTTGTTGAAGGACATCGTCGTGGTCGTGGCCACATGGTAATGCCAGTAGCATACAGTGTTCATTGTCCGTCTGGAAAAACAAGTTGAAATAAGAAATTTGGAGTGAGAAAATTCTCATATAATAACAAAAATACCAATAAGTTCTGCATCGAGTTTACGCGATGTTGTTTTCTCAAGTATTATTTTCATTACGATTTCATTTATTACTTTACGTTACAATTGAAAGGGCACGATCGATGTGATAGACATTTGCAACGAGTGAGGGTGCGAGTATATTTCTTTATTAAACTTCTTCATTATCAAAACGTCGTTACGAATAATTCAGTAGCGAAGTGGTAAAACGGTTTAAGTCGACTCATCTCCCAGCTGAGTTTTTGAGAAATATTTCGGAATCTAAGCTAGATAACGAAATTTTTATAATCACATTTGTTGTAGCACTCAGTCGGCTCTACAAAAAAGGTTATAACAAAAATTTTGCTATCTCCCTCAGATTCCGAGATATTCGTTGAAAACTGATCAACAGTCAAAATTGTCCGGGGAAATTTTGCCGGAAATTTTTTCCGGGGGAAAAAAATCCGGTCACCTTCAATCCAACTTTTTCAATCATAAATTCAACATTAACTATAAAGTTAGAAAAGCGTGATATTATTCAACTTTGAATTTTTTTCCTAATTTTTTCCATTTTTTTTGGTTTTGCTATTGACTTGATTCAATACCAGGAAAAAGTTATTCGGGGAAAAAATTCAGGGAAATTTTTCGGGGGAAAATATTCCGGGGAAATATTTAGGCGAGGGATTTTTTTCCAAGGGAACAATTTCCCGGGGAAATTTTTTCCGGGGGAAAAAAATCCGGTCACCTTCAATACAACATTTTCAATCATGAATTCAACATTAACTATAAAGTTAGAAAAGCGTGATATTATTCAACTTTGAATTTTTTTCCAAATTTTTTCCATTTTTTTTTGTTTTGGTATTGACTTGATTCAATACCAAGAAAAAGTTATTCGGGGAAAAAAATTCAGGGAAATTTTTCGGGGGAAAATATTTAGGGGAGGGATTTTTTTCCAAGGGAAAAATTTTCCAGGGGAAAAAATCCGGTCACCAGTAAGATACATACCTGCATTTTTCTGGCGACCCCCTCCACCTGCGTCTGCTCCAGTCTCATTCTCTGTGCAATTCTCAACGGCAATGTCGACCCATCACTGTTGCATGGAAGACTCTCTCTCGCGACATTTGGATTCCCAAAGACGAAGTGCATCTGCACAACAGCCTGATCATTCTTCAGCGCGAGGAAGCCCTGCCACATGACAGGATACCTCTGCAGTAATCTCAGCAGTGAATCAGGCTGTGGCTGTGGCTGTGGTTGAATGGGTGCATGAGGTGGAGTGGCAACTTGGAGTTTTCTGTGGCGATCAGGTGTCAGTGCACGATCTGGGGAATCGCTGGCCATTGGAAACTGCGATCTTATGTGTGCGGGTGGTGGATCGTAATAGCCTGCACGAGGCCCTGGATTGGTGCCAGTGTTGTATTGAGGTGGTGGTGGAGGCAATCTCTGGCCCTGATGGAGCATGTAGACCTGGGCCACTTGGGGACTGTCTGTCATACGTTCCTGGGGTGTTCTGGTGCCTCGACGGAGCTCCAGCGGTGGACTGTGACTCTCCTCACCGGTTGCCTCCATCTGGGGGTCCAGGGGGAGGTGCGGCGAGCGCGCCCCAGGCACGTGGTAGGGGATCCTAGGGGTCAGCGCCTCCTGCTGGGCTCGGAGGTACTGGTACTGCAGGGGGTGCATGTAGTGCGCTGGCAGCTCGGGAGCCCTGGGAAGACCTCCGTAATGGTTCCCCACGTCACCCTGAAATAATTTAATAGATTTGTTGTTGGTTTTTTTATTTGTGAGGGATTTACAAGGGAAATTTTGTATTGTGCAGAGGGAAATCTTTTAATAATTGACAATTCATATTGATTTAATTGATTATTAGTTTTTTATTCTTGGGGGATTTCCAAGGGGAATTTTTATAATGCAGAGAGAAATCCGCTTGATTGATTCATCGAGAATTTTAATGTAACGAAACTGAAATGTTGATAGGTTTGGCCATACCTTTGGGGTTAAAATACAGTTTTTATTGGAATTATATGAAAATATGAACTGTTTCAATTCGCTGAAACGTTATTTAAGTTTTTTCGGAGTTTTCTTTGTTTTGTAATAATAATTTTTCATGAATATTTCTAGAAAATGTTGTAATGAATAACTTGAACTGAAATTAGGGAATTAGTCAATAATTAGAAAAAAAACTAGCCAATGAAAATAAAAATTTTAATAATTGACAATTCATATTGATTCAATTGATTATTAGTTTTTTATTCTTGGGGGATTTCCAAGGGGAAATTTTTATAATGCAGAGGGAAATCCGCTTGATTGATTCATTGAGAATTTTAAAATATTGAGAAGTTTGGTCATCCGTTTGTAATTAAAATACAGTTTGTATTGAAATTATTTTAAAAAATGAACTCTTTTGATTCGTTGGAACATTCTTTTATATTAGGGTATCTAGAAAAATGATTTCAGGAATAAATTGAGGTAATATTAGAGATTTAATCTGTCAATAATATTCAGAAAATGAATAATGAATGAAAGTAAAAATAAAAATTTCAATAATTGATAATTCATGTTGATTTATTATTTTTCATTGTGGTCGCATTTGTTCAAATTCTACTTGATTGATTCATCGAGTTAATTTTAATGTATCACAACCAGAATATTAACAAGTTTGTTCATATTTTTGTTTTGAAAATACAATTTTTATTGAAATTCAACATAATATGAACTTTTCTTGTTCATTAGAATTTTATTGAATTTTTTTCTGAATTTTCCTTTGTTTTAAGGTCATAATTTTTCATTAGTCCAGAAATCTAGAAAAATATTCTAACGAATACTTGAGCTGAAGTTGGAGAATTAATTTGTGAATAACATTTAGAAAAAAACCAAGGAATGAAAATAAAAATTTTAATAATTGACAATTCATATTGATTTAATTGATTATTTCCAGTTGTCGTTGCATCGATTAATTTTTTAAAAAAAGTTGAAAAATATCATTTTCCTGGGGAATTTGGGGACAGGGACTGTTCCACTTGGATATCCCCCATCATTACGTATTTTTGTTATTCTGGTTTGTTCATGTGCATAACAAGGTTCACACAACCTCTGCTCGATGTCTTCATTTTCGAGCAGTCGAGGATAAACGAATAAAAGCTGATTTGTAAGTACCTGAGAAGCATTAGCATGATGGTGGGCAGGTGGGGGCAGTGGAGGACTCTGGGTTCGATGTGGGGGTACAAGACCGTATTGACCCCGTGGTGATGGAGCTGCGCCCGCAGCACCATGCTAACCAGAACCAAGCAAAAGTTAGTAATCACAAGTAAAACGTTTATATTTTCTGAAGAATTTAGGCGTGGAGAGGTAAAACGTGATAATCATTTCAATTTTATTCCAGAATTATTGAATGGAAAATATTCAACACCAATTTTTGTTTTCGCTTTTCAAGTTTAATTAGTAATGAAGAATAAATGAGTTCTGAAGAATTAGAGCAATTAGACAGGAAAAGTAATGACTTCTTGATTGCTCATTATTTTTCTCAATAAGACAATTTACTTCTGATATTTTTACTTCAATTTTAGTTTTTTATGATACGATTCGAAGAGGAACTAATGGAGATGGCGAAGAATTTTTTATTGCTGAATATGACAACTGAATGAAAAATACGGGATACCTATTTTTTATTTTTATAAATAACGAACATGTAAACAGAGACTTTTTAAAATGTCTGAATTTTGGGGTCATAATGCGGATTTTTGTTAAATGTACATAATAATTTCTTATTCATCTTTTTTTTTTAAGTGAATAATCCATAGTCAATGTTTTACATAGTTCATCGTATTTTACAATAAAAATTTAATTCAAGAACTTATCTTGTCTCAATTATTCAAGACTTTTCTCATAATGTCTCTGAAGTTCTTGTTCATATTTTCGTATTTCATCATGTGTAATCCAATAAAAAGAAATTAAAAAACCTGATTTGCTTAAAATAGTTGTTCACAACTCGCATTATCTCCACAAATTAAAATAAAAATCTCACTCATTTTTAACACATTTTAACACACAGCTGTCTTAAAATTTCTGAATTCCTGAATCATAAACTAAATAACATGTAATTAACATTCATCATCGTTTCTCCATAGTTCATCGTATTTCCCAATAATAGATTGCATTCAATTAAACCCAATCCAATGAAAAAAATCACTTAAAAACCAATTCATATCCCTAAAGGTAAATGATAAATTAATTGATAATCCAATACGACAAACAGTTGTCCCCAGCATCTTCCTCACCATCTCCAATGAAAGCCAAAATCTCAGAAATCCCCTCCTACTTCCTCACCTCGCGAACCTAATCCCCCAATAATAAATAAAAAAAGCCAAATCCCCAAAAAATCTCCTCGTTCCCCTCTCACCTCTCCCCCTAAATCCCCCGAAGAATAAAAAAAGCTCACCAGTGATGGTTCATACGTAGGAACAGGAACATGCCCCTGAGGGCTGGCAGTGGGCACCATGATGCACCCAGACAAAGACACATCGACTTTAGGTGGTTCCATAGCCCCAGGCACCCCAGGTTGAGGGACTCCAGCCCTGGCCCCAGGCACAACCGTCGGATTTCCCAGGATATGCGGCTGAATAGGTGGACTGGCGACGCCTCCAGGGATGATAGTCGGCACGACGGCCTGCAGGAGATGCGCCTTGGGACTGGGCAGATGGGGCTGTCCATTGATCCCCTTCAGGGCAGTGGGTTGCGCCACAGGATTGTGCACCCTCTTCACCGCTGGCGCCCCCACCCCAGGATGAATGTTCGGTGGATGCTTCGACATGTTGACAATGGGCTGCGACTGCATCTGCTTGGCAGCTTGCAGCAGATGCTGCTTGGGATTCGGTGGAATGTTGGAGGTGTTGAGAACAGGAGACATGGGCTGTCCCTGCTTTCCATTCGCCGCTGTGGGGATCTGCTTGGGTCGAGGACTGAGACTGGGTGAGACCACACGACTGGGTACAGGCAGCCTCAGCCCCTGAACCCCCTGACTCGGCTTAATGACATTCTGAATCTGGGGTTGAGTCGGCAAGCTCGGAATGACAGGCTTCGTGACGATGGGCTGAGGAATGGGAGGATTGTTCATCTTGCTGGCGTTCAAAACGTGTGCCTTGAGGCTGGTGGGCTTCGCCTGGGCAGTGGTAGTCGACGTCGTCTGCGTGACAACGAGATTAGCAGCTGTCGTCATCATCGTCGAAGTGGTCGGAGTGATGGTGGCCTGGATGACAACAGAGGACGTCACCTGCACCAGTGGCTTCGTGATGACACTGGGCTGGCTCTTGGGTGGCTGACTGAGGTCAGCAGGCTCCTGCTCCTTCGCAGGGTTCTCCTGCCTGCCAAGAGAATGAGCAAGATGATGCTGGTGGTCTGGCAGCCTGGGCTCCCCCCTCGGCAGCCCTGAGGCCGTGGACACCGGTATGTACTGGCCCTCCTCCGACTCCCTCATGGGAATGAGCATCCCCGTGACAGGATCTATCAGCGTCATGGGCTCAAGGGACTTTGGATTCTGATGTTGAACAGGTGTCTTCTCCTCGACCTTCTCAGGGCCCTCGGCCTCCTCGAAGCTCGCCTCCCTCGGGGGCTCCTTGCTCTTCTCCTCACTGCTGTCCTCGTTGTTCTCCGACGTTCTTCGATTGGCCCTCCGCCCACCACGAGGGGACTTACGAGGCTCCGGAGGTGGCTGCACAGCCCTGGGGGCGTTGTTGTGCCTCGTGCTCCTTCTGGTCGCATGAACACCCACTGGCAGAGCCCCTTTATTAGCCGAGCCCCGAACAACGTCCTCGATGATGTCGTCCACAGTCGTTCTGCTTCCATCCTTCTCCGCCAGTCTCTTCGACTTCCTCGTGTTTATCGCTGGGGACACAAACTCCTCCGCCGGTACCTCCTTCACAGCAGCCACTGGCTGAGGGGGCTGGGCATTCCCACCGACATTTGGACCCGGTGACTTGATCGTCAGAATCAACCTGGGGCGACCGGCGTTGTCCTCCTCACTGTCGTCGTGGAATTCGTAGACGTCAGCTGGCAGTTTATTCCTCTCCTGTTTACCACCCCTGGGCACTCTGCCACCTCGACGTGACACCCCACCTCGTCCACGCCTCGTGGTGACTCCCCCACGTCCAGCCCCTCGTCCCTTCTTCCCCCTGCCCCTCCTCGCCCTAGTCGTCTCGACCTCGCAGGTCTCCACCCCCTCGTCCTGCTCCTCATTCGTGGAGAAGTCCTTCTTGCTGTCGCCCTCTGTCGACTCGGTGTCCAGCCAGTCCTCGCTCTTGCTGGTGTCGTGGGACTCGCCGTTGTGCTCCCTGTCGTGACTGTCCTCGTCCTCGTGGGCCTCAGTCTCGTTGGACTCGTTGTCGCAGAGGGCGTCCACAGTCTTTATGACACTCTCAATGTTCACTTCCTTCGCCGACCAGTAGTCGCTGTCCTCCTTGCTGTCTATCGGGTCCTCCTTGAGGGTCTCCAGGGCCAGAGGGTCACCCACAGGCTCCTTCGGCTCCTCGGGGGAGCTCTCAGGGGCGTCACGTGGCTGCACAGGCTCTGGCTCCTGCTTCACCTCTGGCTCCTCCTTCACCTCAGGATCAGGTTTAGGGGGGACTGGCTCTGACAGATCCACTGGCTTCGGTGGCGCCTCCACCTCAGGCTTCAACTGCTCGACTGCAGGCTGCACCTTCCCCTGGACGCTCTCAGAGACCTCTGGCTTGACCTCATCCTGAGTCTTCGGTTCAGCAGCTGGAGCCTCCTGTTTACCTTCCGGCGACTGCGGAACCGATGGAGACTGAACCGGCAATTCTGGTTCCACAGGGTCAATCTTCTTAGGAAGGTCGGCCCTCTCCTCCCCAGGTTCGGGGCCCGTCGAGGCTGACGAGCTCGTCGTCGAGCAGACAGACGTGACGCTCGACGTGGAGACCCTCGTCACCTGTCCGGCTGTCGACGCCACTGCCACCTGAGGCTTCACCGCCAAAGTCCTCTGGGGAACTGGCGCCCTAGGCAACTGGTAGCCCTGGGTGACAGGCGTCCCCTTGCTATCAGGCACCTGGAACTGCTGTGTCACAACAGGCACAACGGTCTTGATCAAGGGCTGATTGACGGTGGCACTCGGCACGAGGGAGTGCACAACAGACTTATGACCCACGTGTCCATGAGCAACAATAACAGGACTCGGTGTCGAAGCCCTCGGTGTGTGTGTCGTCAACAAGTGCATGTTCCCAATATCCTGCTTCTGCTTTGGAGAGAGTAGATCGTTCTCCATGATCTGGTGCTGTTTCTGTGCCCTCGGTGACAAAGCAGCACTCTCGACACTCGTGGCTTTACTCACGACTGGAGCTGACGTGCCAGCACTGATCTCGATCTTGGCTGTCTCAGGGATGAAAGTTGGTGGTTGATTTGGTGACGGGACCTTCGGTGACGTCGACGCCTTGCTCGTGGGCTCGGGGATGACAGCTGGTGAGAGTTTAGGCTCCTCGAGCCTCTGGGGCTCGTTGGACAGAGCAGCGATCACAGTTTCGATCACTGATTTTCCCATTGACGTGTTGTCACGAGACTTCTGCTGGACTCCTGGCGCCAGTGGGGGCACTGGCATGTAGGGTCTCGGTGGAATGTTGAGAGATAACGGTGGCAGGCCTCCGTGCGGGTAGCTGGGGACCAGGGCTCTCATGCCAGGTGCGTGCTGGATGACAGGCTGTTGACTGGCAGCGGTCGAGTAAATGTGCTGGGAGGAGACCTCTGGCCTGTGCGCCGACAGGGGAACACTCACTGGTATTCTCGCTGGTGGTGGTGTGGGTTTGGCGACGTGCGACAGGTGTGGAGTTATCGTCGAGGCTCTCGACCACTGGCCATTCGGCGAGAGGGACTGGGAGACTCTGGGCGACAACTGTGAGGGAACTAGTGTTGGAATTCTCGATTGCACGAGGGGTGGAAGGGGAGCCGAGGGTGACGGGCCTGTCGTCACTGCTGGCAGTCTCGGGGTGGTCTGACGAAGTGGGGGGACCATCTGGGCCTGCAGGGACACTGGGAGCCGCTGGTACAGGGGCTGACCAGCTGTCGTCGAGATCGGAGGGCGAGGGCTCACAGCTGCTGATATCCTCGGGGAGTCGCTGATCATCGGCACCGAACAGGGTAGAGGCTGTTTGTACTGAGGCGAGGCTGGGGCTGGCGCCTCCTCCGGTGTCTCCACCTGCGGGGATTTGATCACAGGCTTGTGCTCAGACCACGAGTGAGAAGAGATCACCGAGGGTGGGGTCGACGGTCTCCCGCAGTTTGGAGGTTTATCGGTGAGCCCGAGCTGCTTGCTGGCTGTGGATTTGTAGAACGACGGGATGTCCGGGGTTTTCGGGGGCTGCGTGAGGTCGAAGGACTCGTAGTTGGGGTCCTCCTCGGTGTCAGTGTCGATCTGCAGGTCGTGCTCGCTCTGCGGTGTGTCTGGCTTGAGATCTGCGTCAGCCTCGGCTGTCGAGGCGTTCAAACTCTCGACAGCCTGCTGCATCTCCTCGACGTCCTCCTGGGGGGCGTCTGACGGGGGGATGCTCGCACTGTCGCCCTCGGCCCCCTCCTCGTCACCCTCGTACGAGAACTCCTCGGTGGAGCCTCCAAACGTCTCCTCCAGGAGTGCCGCCACAGCGTCCTCAGTCTCCTCCTGGGATATCACCACTCGCGGCTTGTCCTCAACCTGAGGGGGTGGAGGCGTCACCGGGGCTGGCGCCTCGTGCTCGTGGCTCCCAGCCCCCGATTTACGACCACTCTCTCGCTCCTCAGGCTCCGATATACTCTTTATCGCGTTCTCGTGGATCTTCTCGTCGATGTCAATACCAAAACCAGGGATGAACTTGTCCTTCTTCTTCTCGGGCTTCGTGAGAACTGCTGTCGGTGTAATCGGCGCTGAGATCGGATTCTTGGGGATTGGACTGAGGAGTTCCCTCGACATCGGGTGGGTCGGCGACATGGCTTTACGAGGGAGAGGACTGCTCGCTCGTGGGGGGCTCGGGTCGGCCCCCAGGTAAGGCAGAGCACCAGTCTTCTCGTGGTGATGGTGATGGTGGTGGTGATGATGGTGATGGTAGTCCTTTCGACTCCTCTCCTCCTTCGACTTCTTCCTCTTCTTCTTCTTCTCCTTGATCTTCTCAGGGGCTGTCGTGGGAGTCGACGGCTCGTGGCTGTCGTTGTCGTCTGTGAACCTGAAGACGTCGTGGTCATTGGTCTCGGCGCAGGTCGCCGCTGGCTTCGGCGACGACGGCAGCCCCAGGAGCTTCGCCTCGATCTCACGACCTGCCTCCGCCAGGTCCACACTGTTGTCGTCCTCGTTCTGGTGGCGACGTTTCTTCTCGGTTTTCCTCCGGATCCTCTCGTCGAGAATGGGACTGCGGATGCCATCGCTGTCGGTCGCGTAGGTGTTGTTCTCGGAGGGGAGGCTGCTGAGGCGGTTGAAGAAGGTGCTCGAGGGGGCCTCGTCGACGTCGTCAGACAGAGGGCCGAAGATGTCCTCCATCCTCTGGGAGTCCCTCGCCTCCTGTCGACTCAGGCGTTTTCTCCTGGCCTTGACCTTGTCCTCGCTGGTCCTCTCTCGTCTCTTCTCCTTCTTGTTTCTCTCCTTCTTGTCCTTCCTCATGCGCTCCTCAGTCCCCTCGGACATGTTGGTCGTCACCGAGGCGATGATGGGGTCGGAGTCGTTGAGGTGATTCGCTCGGCACTCAGAGGTGAGAAGACCCTTCTTGTGGTCGAGACTGTCAGAGGGCTCGGACTTGATCGTAATCCCCTCCTCACTGGATATCGACGACTTCTGGCGCTTCTGCTTCTTCTTGTGGGACTTCTTCCTGGAGTCTCGCTGGTGATTGTTGATGACGGGGTGATTCGAGGGGAACTCAACAGTCGGCAGACGCTCCTCGTCGTCCGACGATCTCGGCTCCTCCTTGATGGTTCGAATCATGCTGGTGGGGTCGGTCGGCGTGTGCTTCTCCTCGGTGTCAGCGAAGCCCAGGTCCACGTCGCTCTCCACGAATCTCTCGGTTTTGATCTTGTGGAGTTTGTTGTTGAACGACTCGTCCTCCTCACTCGTGTCCGAATGAATTCGGGATCGTGAGCCCTTCCTGGAGAGGGATTTCGTTCTCGTTGAGTCGGATTCAGTGGATTCGTCCTCGGTGAGGGCCTTGCTGCTCACCGAATCCCCGTCCCAGGAGGTGCTCTGCTTCTTCTCCTCTCGTCTCGCTCTGCTCTGCTTCAGCTGTGAGAATTTGTCCTTGAGTCTCACCTGGCGTTTTTCCTCCTCGAGCTTCTGCATATTCTTGGTGGATCTCGCTTTCACCTTGTCGTACATGCTGATGTACGCAGGCTCGTCGTCAATGATATCGAAGATGGAGTGCTTCTTGGGCTCGTCACTGTCAGTGTCAGTCGTGTGCGAGGGATGCCTCGTCTGCATCTCATGAGTGGACGAGTGCCCGTCGTCATTATCGGAATGTAGATTCATAGAGACTTGGTGGTGATGGTGATGATGATGGTGATGTTCGCGTGGCTCTCTGTGACGAGATGAAACGTCCTGATTATGCGGTGGACTCGAGTCAGAGCGTTTTGCCAATTCCAATCTAACCAAGAACTCCTTGTCGAGATCGTGAGACACTCGGGGACTGCGCTCTCGCTCTTTGTCGGAGCGCTCCATTCTACTTCGCTTCCTCTGCTTATCTTTGACACTCGAGCTCTCCCGATTCTCCCTATTCTCCCTGTTCTCCCGACCATCCCTGCTCTCCCGACTCTCCCTACTCTCCCTCGTGATCCCCTCCATCTTCATCTCCCTCGTCCCATCGATATGCGTCTGCGAGGAATCCCTACTCTCCCGACTGTCTTGACTCTGCACCGAAGTGGAAGAGTCCTTGCTCTCCCGATTCTCCCTACTATCTCTACTCGTCCTGTGAGTCTCACTCCTGTGCTTGCGGTCCTCAGACCTTCTGTTCTGCCGAGGTCTGTCCTTACTGTCCCTCCTGTGCTCCGAGATCTTCATCCTCTTGGCATCTTCCTCCGGCACAGCATCCTGAGAGGAGCACCTGCGCTTCATCGACACAGGAGCGGGAGATGCCTGCCCCTGAACCTGATTAGAGACGTGAACATGGTTTTCCGGTCTTTTCCCATCATCCCTCTCCCTCCGCTTCTCCCTCTCAGCCTTCTCCTTCTCCCGCCTCTCCTGATCCTCCCTCCGCTTCTCCTTCTCAAGCTTGTCCCTCTCGAGCCTCTCCCTCTCCTCCTTCTCCCTCTTCTCCTTCTCCATCTTCTCCCGCTCCTCCTTCTCCTTCCGCCTCTCCCTCTCGAGCCTCTCCCTCTCCTCCCTCTCCCTCTTCCTCTCCCGCTCAACCCTCTCCTTCTCCTCCCTCCGCCTCTCCCGCTCAATCCTCTCCCGCTCCTCCTTCTCCCTCTTCTCCGCCTCCTCCCGCTCCTTCCTGAGCCTCTCCTTCTCCTGCTTCTCCCTCTCCAACCTCACTTCTCTCTCCTTCCGCTCACGCTCCTCTCGCTCCCTCCGCTCCTGCCTCTCCCTCTCCTCCCGCTCCTTCCGCTCCTTCTCCACCCTCTCCCTCTCCTCCGTCTCCTTCCTCTCCCTCTCGTCCCTCTCCCTCCTCTCCTTCTCCTGTCGCTCCTTGTCGAGGCGCTCCTTCTCCCGCCTCTCCTCGTCCTTCTCCCGCCTCTCGCGCTCCTCCCTCTCCTTCCTTTCCTCCCTGTCCCTCCGCTCCTGCCTCTCCTTCTCCTCCTTCTCTCGTCTCTCCCGCTCCTCGCGCTCCTTTCGCTCGTACCTTGTCTCCTTGCTCTCTTTATTGTGGCCCTCACTGTCGATCGACTCCATCAACACTCGATCCTCCTTCTCGTAATCCTTTCGACTCTTGTCCTCCGCCTCCTCCTTCCTGGGCTTCCTCGCACTCTCTTTGCTGCTCTTGCTGTGCCTCGAGTCTCTGCTGTCTCTGCTGTCTCTGCTCTCCCTCCCCCCTGCCTCCTTCCTCGACCTCACCTTCCCCAAATCACCGGTCGTTACAGCTGTTGTTGCTGCCACTGTCGAGGTCACAGCAGCCGCTGGTGTCGTCGCTGTTGTCGTCGAGGTACAAGTGGTTGTGTGCAAACTCGAATGATGACTCCCCGACGTCGTGATCGTCGTAGTTGCTGTTGTGACAAGGGCCATGGCCGTCGTCACAGCTGCACTCGTGGTAACAGGATTGTACACCATCGACGACATCGATGCTGAGCCAATACTAACATTACTGGATATTGGCAATCCACTGGCAGCAAAACTGCTGGTACCAGTGGCATGACCAATTGGCAATGAAACTGGTGGCAATTCTGGACTAGCTGTTTTTATTGATGTACCCGGTGTTATTGGGGTTGCTGGTGGTGGATGTATGCAATTATGTACAGCAATACGTGGATCAGTCTTTAATGATGGTGACACTAGGGTTGTCGATGCTGCTGTGAGACATGAAGTCGAGGTAGTGGTTACAACTGGTGGATGACTTGGGAATGGATACTGCAAGCACACTTTGCCACATGCACCACTTGCTGTTGATGTTGCTGAGCCAACCACTGATGATATACCAGTGAATTCTCGTGGTTCATACTTTTCGTTGAAATTCTCAAGTCTCTTTGAGTCCTCGTCGAATACACTGCGCTTAGCTAATACGGATTTGACGATGTCCGAGGGTTGCACCTCACTGAGATCACTGAGGTCCAGCAGTTTGTGACGAAACCTGAAGCGCTCTGAGGCTGATGCATCGAGCTTGGCAAGGGCATCACCACCAGCGGCACTGAGGGCTCGTGAGCCAGACCATCTTTCGTATTTTTCGTCCAGGGAGCGTATTCTCTCCTCGAGGCTTGGGGACTGGGGGGCTGTCTCGCTGTCTGAACTCGTTGGACTGGGGCTTGGATGACGTGGGGGTGGCGATGCTGGGGGCTGGGGGGCAGCTCGAGGACTGGGGAGTGATGGCAGTACTGTGTTGCCTGGTGGGCTCGCTACTTTTGGTACATTTACACTCGTCGTTCTGTTGCAGCCACCGGTGCTGTTGTTGTTGTTGTTGTTGTTGTTGTTCATCATTTGAGCAGCGAATCTGGGGAGGGGCAGGGACAGGGGGCCCTCTTGGCTTCGTTCGCGAAACCTTCGTGGCTCACTGGGCATTATGTTCTCCGGTCTCTCGTCCACCAGTGGTGTACCTGGTCTCGAGCCGTCGTGGTGCTCGTGATGTCTGCTCGATGTGTCGCGTCTTCTCTTGCAGGGGCCTGGACCTCTGCCCTCGCAGCTACTTCTTCTCGCAGTGTGGTGGAGAATTTTACTGTCACTCACTCGTCTCACGTCCATTCCCTTTCGCGAGTGCGACGTCACCAGCAGTGACGCTATCTCCGGCTCCTCGTCCTCGCAGAGGATTGAGGCGTCGAGTTTACGTTTCTTTGGTGCAAAACCCTCGTCACCACTGCTGTGACACTCCTCAAGCTGCTCGAGCAAGTGGACACGCTCCTTCTGGAGGTGCCTTATGTCAGGGGGTGGGAGGAGTATTGGTGGTGGGGCTGGGGGCTCGACACTCGTTACAACACTCTGGACAATGTGTCTTCTAGGTGGTGGTGGTAAATCATCGTCGTTTAATTTACTATCACCAATTACACTACTCTCGTAATCGTCGTGACTAGCACCACTGCCCTGACTAAATTCATCGTAACTGCGAAATCTACGGGGTGGTGGATCTGTGTAGTCGCCGTCGTAGTAGGGATCTGATTGGTAGGAGCGTCTACTACTTCGGGACATTGCTGTTGGGTGCGCTGGACTTGCTCCTGGGGTGCTACCACCACCAGGGGTGCGGGAGTAGGAGGCTGTCCTTGCTCGAGGGGGTGTCTCGTAACGGGTGAATCTACTGCCGGCGTTGGGGACTGTTACGGATGACTCGAAACTCCTGTCTCTTCTGTGGACAGAGGGGAATGCCAAGCGGTGAGATTTGATTCGGGGGTGGTTTTTGGTGGGGGAACGGGCTCGAGTTCATTAGAAGGGGAATGTGAATTTTTATGATGTCTGACTGACGAATGAAGAGAATTGAATACTAAGGTCAATGAACCGCCATTAGTCCAATACTTCTGGTGAGGTGAGGGTAAAGGTGCGATTTTTTTAATTAGGTATCAGAAAATAAAAAGTTCAGAATTAGAATTTACTTATGTTAATCATGATAATTACTATTTTTTAATAAATAATCGTCCGTTAACGTGGAAAATCTCGGGTACCTATTCTTTTTTTTTGTTAAAAAAAATTCGCATTTTTATCAATTTCAACAAAATTGTCAAATCTTTCTAAAGATTCGTAGAGCTCCTAAAAAAATCTAAAATATTCCCGAAAAGCAATCAAATAAGTTTTAATTCTCTCGCAAACTCTTTAAATTCCTGGATTTTCTAAGAAAAACAAAATCTGTAAGAAACACCGGATTTCTATCCTATTTATTTTACTCGAGCAGCTTCAGTGGGCAGAGCTAGTCCTGTTGAATGATTTTATATCGTAAACGAAAGAAAAAACTCGAAAATTTGCACTGAAAATTTTGAACTTTGGAATTTCTGCAAAAAATCCCAAAATAGACATCTGAAATTTTCATTTATTCTCAGAATATCTTCCTTTGAAATCCGAGAGAAACATTGCAAGTCTCAGTAATTTTTCTTTAAATCTGTCATGATTTTCCTTAGACTAATCCACAAATTCGAAAAAATTGTATTTTTCATTTCAGAATATTCTCATTCTTGAATTCTTGTTTTTTCCTCTTCTAAAATACCTCTAAACTTAATAATCCTCTCTAAATGTAATTCACAACTCCCCCACCATCAAAAGCATATAATCTTCCATCTTAATTAGAATTGAATTAATCCTGAATTCCTCTTGATCTCACCTGTTTCTACCTCAAGAACATTTCCCACTGAAAATAAGTCGACTCTTGATACTCTATTTAAAAAAATCTTCTGAAATTGAGTTAAAAGTTTCTCATTCGAAGGACAACGCTGAAACCCCCAAGTTTCCCGATAGCAGAAGCTTTTGATTGGCGTCTCACTCGAGGGAAATGTCAAAAATAGTAATTGAGCCATCAGATCTACTCACGCAACGTCAAATGTCGCCGCAGGTGAGGGCCTAGAGTCCCATGGTTTCTCCCCAGCAACACCCTGACGCTCAAGATGCTCGTAAAATGTCTCCTGACACTCCCTCGAGGCAAAATCCACCTGCAATCTACGTCCCCTGAGTGATGCACCTCTCATCTCTTTAACAGCTGTCTGTGAACAACTTATCTGCTCAAAGAATATGAGAGCATGTCCACGCTCACGGTCCACAACAACTTGGTTGATTGGTCCAAACTGATGGAACTGCATATTCAGGTACTTTTCAGAAACACATTCACCAATACCATCGACCCACACACATGGCGTTGGCATTGACTTGCCAAAACCAAGTTTAATTCGATTAGCACCGAGATGCTCACCATCCATCGAACGCATGGCTTTCACCACACTAGTTATGTCCGAGTACTGGCAGAATGCATAACTCGATACGGCTCCCTGTTTTTTAATATCGATTTCCTGAAAATTAGAAAATTAGAAAGATTGAACAATTGGTGTTAATTATTATTTTTTGTGATTTTTTTCAAATATGAATGGAAATGGTTTTTGTAAGTCAGCATTGATAGATGAGAAAATCAACAATTTCAAGTTTTAATCGATGACTTTGTTACTTGACGAGTATTTTTCTTTCTCTGTGTGATAAGACTAGCCTGAATGCTATTCATCCATTGATTCTTAAGTTATGAATATTAGAAAAATTTTATGTCAGGGCACTGGCAGAATGCATAACCCGATACGTTTCTCTGTTTTTTAATATCGATTTTCTGAAAATCAGAAAGATTGAACAATTGGTGTTAATTATTATTTTTTGTGATTTTTTTCAAATATGAATGGAAATGGTTTTTGTAAGTCAGCATTGATAGATGAGAAAATCAACAATTTCAAGTTTTAATCGATGACTTTGTTACTTGACGAGTATTTTTCTTTCTCTGTGTGATAAGACTAGCCTGAATGCTATTCATCCATTGATTCTTAAGTTATGAATATTAGAAAAATTTTATGTCAGGGCACTGGCAGAATGCATAACCCGATACGTTTCTCTGTTTTTCAATATCGATTTTCTGAAAATCAGAAAGATTGAACAATTGGTGTTAATTAATATTTTTTGTGATTTTTTTCAAATATGAATGGAAATGGTTTTTGTAAGTCAGCATTGATAGATGAGAAAATCAACAATTTCAAGTTTTAATCGATGACTTTGTTACTTGACGAGTATTCTTCTTTCTCTGTGTGATAAGACTAGCCTGAATGCTATTCATCCATTGATTCTTAAGTTATGAATATTAGACAAATGTTATGTCAGGGCACTGGCAGAATGCATAACCCGATACGTTTCTCTGTTTTTCAATATCGATTTTCTGAAAATCAGAAAGATTGAACAATTGGTGTTAATTAATATTTTTTGTGATTTTTTTCAAATATGAATGGAAATGGTTTTTGTAAGTCAGCATTGATAGATGAGAAAATCAACAATTTCAAGTTTTAATCGATGACTTTGTTACTTGACGAGTATTTTTCTTTCTCTGTGTGATAAGACTAGCCTGAATGCTATTCATCCATTGATTCTTAAGTTATGAATATTAGAAAAATTTTATGTCAGGGCACTGGCAGAATGCATAACCCGATACGTTTCTCTGTTTTTTAATATCGATTTTCTGAAAATCAGAAAGATTGAACAATTGGTGTTAATTATTATTTTTTGTGATATTTGTCAAATATGAATGGAAATTTTAATTGACGACTTAATATATATAATGATGAAATTTTTTGAAGTAACTTCAGATTATTATAACTTAATCGACTAAATTTGGCCATCTCTGAAGTAGTTTGGGCGAAGAACAAATTAAAAAATCTTTTAGAATTTTCTTCGAAATGTCCAAACCTCATTTAATTGCTGATAAAATTGAGTTATTTTTTTCGTTGAAGAGTACTCTTCATTCTCTATTTAATAAGACCAGCCTTCTTTATTTTTTAACATCGATTTCCAGAAAATCAGAAAGATTGAACAATTGGCTTTAATTATATTTGGAAAATTTTTGAAATATTTCGAAAATATCGATAGAAACGTTTTCTTTAAATCATCAATAACAGATGACATTGATAAAGAAGCCAGCAATTTCAATTTTTAATTGACAACTTGATATAAGTATAATAATAAAAACAATTGGATATAAGTAACAATGAATTTTTCTGAAATAACTTCAAATCACCATAATTTAATTGGCTAAATTTGGGTATTCTTAAAGTACAATTTTTGTTCTATTCCCAAACATTTCAGAAAATATTTTCAAACACGAAACCCAGCAAAACCCGATCGAAAACTGCAAAAAAAAATTGTAGAATTAGTTAAGACCTCATTGAATTGCTGACAAAATGCAATCATTTTGTTCTCTGAAGACTCCTCTTCCTCTTAATTTATTCTTCAGCGACGAATATTAAAAACCGTCTGATATCCCCATACTGTCCCACCCTCCCCAGCCCCTTATCCCCAAAGAAGAGCTCAATACCAGAACCACGATTTTCGTCACACTCAGTTGTATTTCTTACCCCAACCCGAACGCCCCCACTGCCAATTGCATAACTCAACGTTTTATCATCATTATCAGCAGCCCCGCAATCTCGACACAACATTTACAGACGCATTACATAAAGACTTCTGACTCAAAGTTCTTAGCATATCAGATATTACGCAATGGCAAAGGTTTATGCATTCGCGCTATTGAGATTGAAGTTAAGTAATTGAAATAACGTACGATAATTTCCCCAAAAGGTTCGAAGTGTTTTCTGAGCTCCGACGCCGTGACATCCTTCTCGAGATTGCCGATGAAGAGGGTTCTCGTTGCCTTCGGATGATACTCATCGAGTTCAGCTTCGTAGGGCCTGAACTCATTGTCCTCCACGTCATACCCCTGATAAGGTGCCACTTCGATTTTACAACCGAAGAATAATTTATCGTGCGACACCTCGAGCGCTTTCTCCACATCCTCCGGCTTTTTGAAGCAGACAAGTGCATACCTGTCACCAGCTGCTCCAACAACCTTCACCCACGTGACCTTTCCGTGCTTCTTGTACTCGTGAAAAAGTCCGTCCTTCAAAGAGGTATCACTACTTCTCGCTGGCAAATTTCTAACGCATATTGCCAGTGGCCTCCTGTCATCCGAAACAGCTGCATTGCCGGTACGGTGGGGTGAACTGCCCGGTGAACTACTCCCACCAGATGTACTACCACCTGAACTGTTACTACGACTGCTACTACTACTGCCAGAGCGACTCGAGCCACTTGGCGAACTGCTACCACTTCTCGATTTTCTTCGCTGTTTTTTGTGTTGTCTTGAGGTACCGCTGTTGCTGCCGGTGTTACCGCTTCCGACGTTGCCACCACCTGGGGACAATTGGTGGCGTGGTTATTGGGTGGTTTTGGTGATTTGGGGAGAACGAGGAAAATTGTGTTGGGGGAGTTATCAAGTCGCTTGGGAAATGAATTCAGTAGCGAAGTGGTGAAACTGTTTTAGTCGATTTTGACTATTGGCCAATTTTTAATGAAGATAGCGGAATCTGAGAGAGATAGCAAACCTTTCTCATGACCTTTTTTATAGCCCTCAATGGGTTCTACAAAAAAGGTCACATAGCCCTCATGGGTTCTACAGAAAAGGTCATGACAAAAAATTTTCTCTTTCAGATTCCGAGATATTCGTCAAAAATTGGTCAATAGACAAAATTGGCTTAAGACCCGGGTGTACTATCTTTCGAATGCTATCTGGATTTTTTTTATCTTTCGTAATCCAAAATTGTCAATTGAGTGGTACATCATGTAGAAATTCCCAAAAACTATGATGTTATGATAAAAAAAATGGAAAAAATTCTGAACTTTTTCAAAGAGCGTTTTTAATTGAGATTCAGAATGAGTTGAAAAAAGTGGAAATTACAAACATCTGATTCGCTGTGGCAAATTATCTATTAGCTCTCATTTTCCATGGTGGATAACAAAACACTAACTCCTCATGGGAAGTGACTGCTAGGTATCATGAAGCTGAAACTAGCGCAAGATTCGACAGCAGAATATTTGTCTTGGACGAATCTAGGGGTGTACAAATGTTTTGAAGTAAGGTACAAACTCTTTCGCACTTAAGAAACATTTGTACATATGATTATTCAACTCTCTTACACTTAAATATCCTCTAAATTGAATTTTCCGCTGACAAATATTCTGCTAGTTTCAGTTTCATCTAGGTATCTCAATTTTCAAAACAGTGGTATGTAGTCATCTGCTATTTTTATGTGATAAAAGTGTGATTAAAAAATTCTCCAAAATATTACAACTTTTTTCAAAGAGCCTTTTCCGTAATAAATGTCTCTGTGCAGTGTGGGAAAAGATTTACGAAATCAGTCTTCCCCCTGCATGATATTGGGTGACAGGCCGCCATTTCTCACCATAAATCAGATTTTTTTCAATTTCGTGTTCTTCAACTTATCCTGAATATAAATTAAAAATGCTCTTTGAAAAAATTGAGAATTTTTTCTACTTTTCGTTGATTATTCATTCATAATTTTTCAAAACTTCTGCATGATGCAGGACTCAATTGACAATTTCAGATGACGAAAGCTGAAAAAAAACATCGAGATAACATTCGAAAGATAGTAAACCCGGGCCTTAAACCGTTTTACCATTTCGCTACTGAAACGAACAACATTATTGAATGCAAAGGATTCTCACCAGATTCCTCCTGGTAATTGTCAGTAGCAGCGGGCGAGGGTGGCGGTGGTCCAGACGCATACCTAGACGAGCCTGTCTCATACCCAAGCCAGGACGACATTGGTATACTCCCCCGATGGCGATCTATATGGGACGGTGGCGGTGGACCCGTTGGATAAGAGCTAGTTCTTGGATAAAGCCGATCCCTCGCCCTCGTTGACGTCACGTGGTAGCCACTACTCGGTGTTGGCCTACCACGTGGTATGTAACCACCCGTCTCGACCGCTGACGAATCGACCGTGTGTTCAACCCTATTACTTCTCTCACTGGGATAGAAACCTCCGTGGGATACACGGGACTCGAAAGTCTCGTTACTTCTGTCGACAACTCGCTCGTTGACACGATCTGCTGTGACTCCGGTGACTGAGTTAACGCCACTACCGACGGTACCAACGACGCTGGATCCATGATCCTCAGAACTTCTGAAATTATTTCGTGGATTGTGTTAAAACGATGGGTTTTTTTTATTGATGGAGGGGATTTTGTTTTTCAAAAAAGTGGGAAATTGCTTTCGTCAGGACATAATTGATATATTTTTATGATGATGTATTCTGAATTGAACTCAATGATTCGTTGAAGTAAACATTATCCCAACGTTGGCGAGCCAACATTGCCCCGACGTTGACATTCAATATTATCTTAACGTTGGTAGCCAATACCCCCACGTTAATAACCAACATTGCGCTGACGTTGACAGCCAGCATTGGGCCAACATTAACAGCCGACAGTGCCCCAACGTTCGTAGTGGCAGCCAATATTGCCCCAACGTTGATAGTCAACATTATCCTAACGTTGGTAGCCAATACCCCAACGTTAATAACCAACATTGCGCTGACGTTGGCAGCCAGCATTGGGCCAACATTGACAGCCGACACTGCCCCAACGTTCCTAGTGGCAGCCGATATTGCCCCAACGTTGATAGTCAATATTATCCTAACGTTGGTAGTCAATATTATCTTAACGTTGGCAACCAACACTGCTCCAACGTTGGTAGTGACAGCCAACATTGCCCCAACGTTGATAGTCAATATTATCCTAACGTTGGTAGCCAATATTGTCTGAACGTTGGCAGCCAACACTGCCCCGACGTTGGTAGTGACAGCCAACATTGCCTCAACGTTGGTAGTCAATATTGTCTTAACGTTGACAGCCAACACTGCCCCAACGTTGGTAGTGACAGCCAACATTTCCTCAACGTTGATAGTCAATATTATCCTAACATTGGCAGTCAACGTTGGTAGCCAAGATCCTAACGTTGGTAGCCAACACTCCCCCGACATTAAATTTTTTTACCTTCGCCTGAATATTAGTTTCAAAAAATGAATTGATTCAATCAAATAAATGATTTTCCAAATTATTATTTAATTAACCAAATTCAAGCTCAATTTTTATTCGCCTTTTTTTCCATCAAATAAACTGTTTTTTAATATGAACAACTGTTTCCTTGATCCAAATATACACTTTATTATATAAAAATTAAATACTTAGACAGAGAAGATAAAGATCGCCAGATTTATTCCTATGTAATAATTGGTATTAGGATCAAACGCATCGTGAATGAATGAATGAATTTTATTTCCAACTATATAACTTTTACACAGTCTATGTGTGCGCTGATATTGTATTTAAGATAGGACTGACCAGACAACTTGAAGGGTCACGTGTGCAGCTGATCAGTAATCTAATGAAGTGAACGATAGAATAAATCTCAATATGTGGGTCAAACAAATCGTTTATGTCATTCTAATAGCGGATTTTCTTGCAATTAATGAATTATTCATTTCATATTTAATTAAAGGCAGTGGCTATTCACACTCCTGCGTGAATCCCTCCGGTACACTCCGTACACTTGATGCATCTCAGCCACTAGTTTGTTATTACTCGGGAATTTGTTGGAAATTGTTATTAAATTACAGTTCCACCGAAATTTCACGGAATTTCACAATCATTGATTAGACGGAGAAGATAGGGAATTCCTCCCCATATAATAATTCTTTATTTGGATCAAACAAATCATTCGATATAAATGAATTAGTCACTTCATATTTAATTAAAAACACCTGCATGAATATTTTCGTAGTGATCAGAAAAATATTGAATAGTTTCATTTGATTTGAATGCGCCGTATATTCAAATTCATTCTATTAAAAAATCCAATAAAAATTTGTGTAATAAAAATAGTTCTCGCGTTGGATATTCTGTCACCGGAAACAGCTGTGATAAAATATATATTCCATTTGAAATAAGGAATCTATTTAATTTCTTAAATGTCGACGTAGCATACTGAATTATCTAAACTCACTTGACCTATAAGATTCAATTCGAATATTGAATTACGATGAATATAGAAGTCGTGTAATGAAATATGGAGAATTGCGACGTCAGAAGGTGCAAGCATTCGTGAAAACTTAATGCATCTCAGCTACCAGTTTGTAATTACATAAACCACTGGATGGCGTACGTCCAATCTAATAAATCCTCTTCAGTGTTTCAAGTCAAGCGAAGTTGTTCGAAAACTTCGGAATGAGTGAAGTTAAAAGTAGTGCTTCGCATCATGCGATCGCACGGAACAGAGATGGAAACAGGGAGTCGTAACGTGAGGCGGAGGGGGAGGGGGAGGAAGAGGAGGGGGGATTGGAGACTATTATATCAAATCAATGCAAAAAGCATGAATTATACTGTTGCGCACTTGATGTTGTAGAGCTATCTGGGAATGACGAGTCGTTCGATTGAATCAATAATACGTCATTATCGCAAACATTGTGGGAGAGCGTGTGAACACTCTGGGCAGGATTGCTGTGGGTGAAGTGCTGTCTCATCGGAGTTGTAGGATACCGTCAATATCGCAGTTAATGCCACTTGAAGCTTTCCGTATCTTTAATGAGGGTCAAATAATTATGCATTCGTTCAGGCGACAAATTAACGCAGTATGCAGATAGTTAATACTCTTTTTTATCGTTTGGATTGATATTGACCCAGATGAATTATTTTTTTCATTTCAAGATTTTTATTCGATTTAACTATTTCTGCAATGCGTAGGCTTTTACATGTATATACATAATGAAGTTTTCTTGGGCGACCTGTAACATGAGCTTGTGTGATTTGTAAATTGAGGATACAGGTGGGGAAAAGCGTCAAAATAAAGCGCAAAAAATATAAATTTCCGCACCAAATTCCGGAAATTGTTATTCTGTTCAAATTCCACTGAAACAGGAAATCTCGTCATTGGGAAATCAAATATTCCAGGGATTTTCTGTTCAAATGATCTGGAAATCAATAAAATACTTGTTTTTTCAGGTCAATTATTCTGTAAAAATTTAGAAAAACCGCGAAAATTTAGGGAAAAATTGAAAATTCATGTCATGTGTTTCTGAATATTTATGCTCCACTGAAAATTCGATCAAGTTGTTAAATTTCCATCTCACTCCCACTGAAAACTCAAGAATTTCCGTGAATTCTACTTTACACTTGAAATTTCATAGCCATTCTTTGGCTAAATTCGATTCAATGTCACTCTCATGAGATTTACTATAACATCTTCCATGAAATTTAAAAAAATTTCTAACAGTGTAAGACGAACTCCAAATGGATGATTCAATGAATCAATATTTTTAAAAATAGAAAATCTTCGCCATGTGTTACATTCTACTCCTTGTGAAGGCCATGTTTCATTTATTGCCACTCTTTGGTGTCTGTTAATGTCAGAGAAAAAAATCAAGGGTCCATTTCCCCTCAATCCCCTCTAATTTGAACTCTATATTATAGAATTCCAAATGTACAGTGTGTAGTGCAATATCTATACAGTCGATTTTCATTTAGTAGATAGTGCGAGGCAATACTCGCCCGAAACCTATGAATTTCAAGCCCTTTCATCATCTTATCTAATTGGAGGCCGAATTTTCATGAAATTGAATTCAGCAGCGAAGTGGTAAAACGGTACAAATCAATTTTGACTATTGACCAGTTTTCAATGAATATCTCGGAATCTAAGGGAGACAGCAAAATTGTTGTTATAACCTTTTTTGTAGAGCCGACTGAGTGCTACAACAAATGTAATTACAAAAATTTCGTTATCTCCCTTAGATTCGGAAATATTTCTCAAAAACTCGACTGGAAGATAAGTCGACTTAAACTGTTTTACCACTTCGCTACTGAATTGAATTTTCCAGTACACTAAGGAAATAAATTAGCTCAACCGAAAAACTACATGTTCCACGTGAGGGGCCAAAATTTGTGACACTCTAAATCTCACGGATTCATTTGTCGAGCCCGGTACAGTAATTTTTACTCTACCGGCACGGTAATTTTTATTTTTATCAGGATAAAATTCCTCTAACGTATAATAAAATTTGATCATCATATATTAATTTTTACTAAATTTCGGGACAGAAATGAACAAACGATGACTCATGATACACTTTTATAGAACGGTAGGATGTGATTACTTATGTAAAGGATGAACAATGTATTCTAGTAATAGCAATATGTAATATGTATTATGACATGTAATGTTCAAACATTTTGTAAAACTTGAGGTAACCAATATGGCTCTACTATCAACATTTATAGATCCTAAGGGGTTGGGCAACAAAAAATGTAAACACTCAAGAGGGTATACAAAAGACGAATAAACTAAAACGGTTGGATAATTTTTATCCAAAATTTCCGTGTGGTTTTTCAATAGCAAAATACATAAAAATTTCGAGTGATTGTTAAAAATTTCACGATTTTTTACTTGAAATTTCAGAAGTAATGTTCTAATAGTGTATGTATGTGTAGATTTTTTTGAAATTTTTGATAAATCTTCGCAAAAAACGAGAAAAATTGAAGCTAAAAACCTAAAATTTCATCGCACACCGTCATTGACCCGGTTATAGAACCGGTACCGATTACGGAATTCGGTTACATTTAGCCGAAACACCAGGTGACCCTATATATTTACTGTGATGAACGAAGTTGAATGGAAATTATGGGCTGTATACTTTCTCTGAAGCCAAAAATATCCCCTCAACAATTCCAAGTTATTGAGAACAATACAGATCCATAACTGGGCCTCGTTTCTTCAGGAATCCGAGACCGTTTCACTGACGGTAATTACTATTATTTAAGAGCACTTCTGAAAGAAATGCCGGCTCAATCGGTCAAAAAGTTTTTAAGATACAGCAATTCCGAAAAATATTGTTTCCTAAAGGTTTCAAAAACTTCGTGACTGAATTGATTTTTTTTCTTCGAAAAATTGAATTCTATTGACTTTGTCTACTGAATATTTTGTATTGAACATTCCAATAGAATCGGCCTAAAACTAATAGAACAGTTCAATAGAAATTCAATAGAATTTTTGGATTGTCGATCAATAGAAAAAATAATTGATCACATGATCACACACGAGGAATACTGTTGTATACCCACTATTTCTATTAGA